AACACCGTTCCAAAAACCAAAACCAAACATTTTCAAAAACCGTTCTTGAAACCGATAAATTTTTTTAAAAACCTTTTTTGAAACCGAAACCAAAACCAAAAAGTTTGAAAAMCCGATCTTAAAACCTRAAMMAAWACCAGAAAATTTAGAAAACCGTTCTCAAAAACCGAAACCGAAACCGTTAAAATATGAAATGGTTTCGATCCCTGCTTAGAGGTATATTGGTCTCTGTGAAATTCATTTTAGAATATTTGGTATATGTTTGAATGAAATATTATAATCATAAATGTTTTATTATAATGTACATTATTCACCAACGTATAATATTTTTTCTCATTAACAATATTGTATATTTATTTTATCATAAGGCATTGGGTAAATAATTATTAAATAAAAATTGTTTAGTCACGATAACGTATATTAAAATGTCCATTACTTAATGACTTAAAATGATAATGTTAGCCATACATACATACCTTGTAATTTGTAATATTGTGTGTAACGTATAGATAATTTAACTTTAATAAGCTTGTCAATGAATATTCCTTAATTTAAAATGTGTGTGTATCATGCATATAACATTATGTTATATTTATCTAAATAAAATATTATCGCCAAGTAAAGTTAAATATTAGTTATGATAGTAAGTTAAGTACCTACTACCCTATCCTAAAATATATTCTTTTTAAATTTGTTATAATATAGAAACAATTCAATTACCTACATACGAAGACACTAAATTTTACTTAACATAATAGTATACTTAATATACCTCTTATTAAGGACACGCATTTTAGAATATTATTAAATTTGTTTTTATAATTTTTTTTTATGTATTATATTTACAATAATATATAATATATATTGATATTATTATCTATGGCCTATGCGTTGTACAATATTACCRCAATCAATCATTTCAGGCCTACTTTTATGTTTTATAAATTGAAATTATAAAAAATATTTAGTATCAGATATAACCATAATAATATACCAYTATTGAATAGAAGAAAATAATATCCTTAATCACTTTGAATTTGAATAGTGTACAGYTCTTCGTCAAAATACCCTGGATTCATTGTATTCGGCGAAGTCRACGAATTGGGATACTTTGACCAATGCATGCGCGTTTCATCAAAACGACTTGGGATTTATGGAGCGTATGCCATAGCAAACATACGATTCCATCTTTCAACAGACAACGAACCTTCTGAACCGCTCAACCAACTCGACATAATCAAAGCGGACCAAGAGCGATTGAAAGTAATGTGATGACAATATTATAAATTATACTATGCATAGTGACTGCGCATGAAAATTACGAACTGCAACAACGGAAGTCGTAATATTTTAAAATTTTAATCGATTTCAGAGAGACGCGTCGGCAACAGTACCGAGAMACTTATTATGGGCGTTGTGTTTTCCGGACTCGTGTACCAACGAAGACATACGATTATCCGTCGATCGTGTGTTGAAATCAGCTTTCCAAACGCGCAATATTAGCGTAAATGTCGCAGTGCCGCCGTCAATGTATACATCTAAGAGTACGACGCTGAAGTACACAAATATAGTTTTCATCATCTAGTGAGTTAATCATCTAAATCCATACCTAGACATAGTGGTTGACTAAATTAAACCATTATGGCTATTTCCTCTTTCACGGTCGAATTAACTCTGAAAACATATCTTCCGATAATATAATATATTCATATATGAATCATATAAAATATATATGTTACCGTCAATGATGCAAATTAGTTATTAACGTAAATGCCTAACCAATATTAAAAATTCCTAACATTAGTAAGTAGTTGATATTGTCAATGCCTAGGCATTAACTGACAACATAGGCAAGGTTGTAAAATTCAAATATTTTGTTAACAAGTTTAAAACTATAACTAGGAACTTACTTTAATGTCTAATACTGATAGGCAATGTTGATAATTATGTTTAACGAAATACTTTAATTAGGCCAGAAATGTATAAATACAAGATAAATTATACATAMCTAGTTAATAATTATTTATTTTCACAATTTGTTTTGTCGTGACACTTTGAATTACATAAAACATTTTTTTTTTTACATGCACATCTATTAGTTTTGCATTTGGTTTTGCAAATACATCTTGTATAGCCTTGTGATCCCGCGATTCCATATCCAGCAGCCTCACTAACCGTAATTTCTTTTACTCCGGCAGTCGCGATGGTTTTTTCATAATTCAATATATTTTCAGGACATGAAACCAGTTGTGCTCTAGTAAACCTATTTTTTAGCATACCGTACTCCGTACCTACATRGTAATTTATTTTAACAATTAGTTTTTATTGTACTTACATAATTTATACATATCAGCTCCATATGCAACAATGACCGCCAAAAGATTAAGGGGTGAGCCACATGCTCTATACACGTCAGGTATAGGTACTCTTACAGTAGTTCCTACTTGGAGTTCTGTTAACTTAGTATTAGAATACTTCATTATTTTTTGTGCCTGTTTTTGAAGGTTAGTTATGGCCCCTTGTCTCCCCTTGTCTATGATTATTAATTTGATCTTTGTTCGAATCTAATGCACACATTAAACAATTTGYAATAATTAATTACAAACTGTGCTATAATAATAATAATAAACATAATATAATAAAATATAATAATATATTATATTATTATAATATTATTATTATTAAATATTAATTAATCAACTATTGTGTTTTTGAATATTAGTTACCTATAATATCACGATTTCCTTGCTCTCCACTATCATCACCCTTAACGTCAAATTCTTCAGTGTTTTCATTTTGATTTTTAAATATATTTTCAACGTCTTCTTCCGATTCTAATTTAGAAATTTCATCGTAAGGAATATTTGTTGAGGCTAATCCGATTTTTGCAGGACAGCCAAACATGATTTCATAAGGAGAACGACCTATTCCTAGAATTTTATTTATTTATTTTTATTTTTGACTTAATATTTTCATATGTTTAAAATAAATAATATTTTTTGTATAAATTACTTATGTTGATAATTAATTAAATAATAATAAAAGATTACTAACCTGAATTGAATGCTCGATTTTTTTGAAASTGGATAAACTTGAGAGCGGTTGGCCAATCTTTACTATTGTTATCTGTCATCCATGCAGCTAAGATTGTTTCAATATCTCTATTGGCACGTTCTACCAACCCTTGGCTCTGGCTATGTCGTGGTTTGCCATGTACAATTTTTACATYACTCCACATTTCATTAAGATTAGTGATAATTGAATTGACAAACTCTCGTCCGTTATCAGAATGCAAAATTGACGGTGCCCCCAAAAGTAGCATAAATATCTAATAAATTTATAGCAACTTCTTCAGCACGTTTTGACTTTAGAGGCCGTAATAATACAAATTTTGTAAGATGGTCTGGTAATTTATAATAAAACGATAATCATTATAACATTGTGATTGCATGCCGATTAGATCAATTTGTGCCCAAGAGTTAAAAGCTGAGTGCACAATAGGCTTTGAAACCAAACCCTTTTTCGGATTAGGTTGTTTTTATTGGCAATATGAACAGAAGCTTAAAAAAATCATAATCGATTCTTTGGTAACGTTACAATATTTATGTTTCAATTCAGCCACCATTCTATCTCTTCCCTCATGTCCAATTGCAATATGAGTAGCATATAGGACGTCGAATATTTCATCAACTTTCAAATAATAAAGAACTGTTCCATCTGATATGGGTGTAATTAATTTTTCTTTCCGAGCAATAGTCATAACATCGCACTTACGAACTAATCTGCAATCTTGTAGTCTTTTTTTTTTAATTTCGCACTTTTAACGGCCGATATTTTTTCGTCATACTGCACGGTAAACAAAAATGTATCAACTCCCTGAAATCGGTGTCAGAACAAAACGTTTACAGTAATGTTGCACTGGATGTGAAGTGAACGTGAACTGTGTACCTACAAGTCGGTCGACTTTGAAGGTAATTTCTATAGATGGATACTAGATACATGTTATCGCTATCTTAAGATAGTACTTAATAGGTACCTCGACATATT